GCACGAAAAAGCCAACATTTTGAACTATGTCGTCTTCTTCACACACAACAGAACAACCAACGATCATGCTTGTCCTAACATGCAACCAAGGAAGGTTGGCATGAGATTACTGCTCAATCTCAATAGGATATTTTGTTCAACAGAAAATCTAATAAAAAATACAGGAAAGAGTTAGGAATGAGTTGGTTTAGAGCAGTGGTTTTCAACCTGGGGAAGGGTTGGTGATCGGGGGCGGGGGGGGGGGGGGCGCAGACAGACGTTTCAAGGAGACATCAAGCAGTTTTGTTTGATACCGAGGACAGGTGTACTTGCGGTGCTTTCTTAATATTCTACCTTAAACTAGGGAAATCCACAGGTCACTGGACAGTCTACTATTTCAGGAGGTGGTAGATAGGTTGTATGCTGTCGTGGGACCTAGGCTACATGCAGTCGTCAAGCCTAGGCTGGACTCTCTCGTGGGTTGGGGTGACGTCATCTAGGTTAGGATGTTGCGAAGGAACCGTACTTGCAATAAGCTGTTACATAATTTTGTTTTAAAGTTTCATTATAAATTACTTATTTTAAAACAAAACAAAAACCTATAAAAATCAAAAGCGAAGGACGTTTTTGTTTGTACAACTACCGTGAAAAATCTAATCAATAGGATAACACCAGCATTTAATTATAGTTTAAGTGTGTGTGTGTTGGGGGAGGGGGGGGGGGGGTTATCTTGCCACATATTATAAGGGGTGTCATCTGAACAAAAGTTGAAAACCACTGGTTTAGAGTTTATACTTCATGGACATAAGGCAGGGACAGATTACTCGAGGAAAAGGGAGATTACAATTAATAATTTGATGGCCACTATAACGACGTGTCGGCTCTGTGGCTAAGTCGATGCGAACGCTTCGTAATGCCGGGGTACCGGGTTCGATCCCAGCTGCGGGCCATACGCCTTGCGTTGGTTTCGACAGTGGTATCAGGGAGCCCACCGTCCAGGCCAATGGCAAACTACTGGACGTAAATTCTGCAAGGTCCTGTAAAAGATACGCAACTAACTTTAACGACAACATCGACTCAGCTCAAAAGGCACAAGTGAAACCGTCTGTGTGATTGATATTGTATTTGAATATTTCCGTTGAAAGGATGTCAGTATTTGTTTCATCTGGAGCTGGAGAACGAAGTGAAAAGGTTAGGGAGGACAGGGGGTGAGCTACATATAATAGGAAGGGAATGGACGATTTGCGTGAATTGGTTGATGGTTTATGCTCCATGGGAGCGACTGAAGGCAGAAGACGAATTTTAATGAGGACTTCTGAGTGGCACAGCCCTAATATCTTTGTCAAAGTCAAGACAATGCGATCTGCTACCAAATCGCCCGCAGCTGACCTCATAACCCGGTATGTTGGGATTGTGAGACTGTGCTCACAACCCCCAAGCCACAGACACGTACAACATGGTTGGCAGGAGATTAGAGGTCAGTCACCTGAATGCTTCCATCATTTCCTCTGTCCTGTCCTGGTGACTCTGTTGTTGCTTTTTCGACATGTATGCTTTGAAGTCCTGAAATTCGATAACACCATTGCCTGAAAATGAATACAAATGGGTTTGGTTAAGGTTGATTGTTGAAACAAGAATCGAAATCACAACACTCAGGACACTCCTATAAGTGCTACGTCCCCATCTTCAGCAGCACGCGTAGAGTTCCAGTTCCGATGGTACCAGTAACCGCCTGACTGTATATTAGTCTCATTTGATTTGGTTAGGGTTCGCTGTTGTAGCACATGGATCCATGAGTGGGTCACTGGGTCCTATTTGGGAAGGAGGGGGAGACAGACCCATTGTGCTTCATATGCATATTATAAAATACGACTAACTGAAAGTTTGCCGAAACCAAATTATGTTAGGACGAAGGTGCTAATATCGCAGCCTAGCTGTAAACCACAACACAGCTTGTCAACGTTCTATTAAGGGCTAAACCAAAAAAAAAAAAAAAAAACTACGCACCGATACCTCCATAAGTGCTGCTTCTAAAGATTCTGATTCAAATTGTACGGAAATATAATAAAAAGTCGACCATATTCAACCCTTTGCGAAAAACTTTCGCTGAGCGCAGCTTTCGGTTATATTTATGGTCTTGCTTATTTGTGCTAAGTTAATTGGTTGAGATGTGTGTGTTTGGGCCAGGAATGATAACTTAGTGTCCGTATCCACGTGTATTGCTCATTCCTAAATTTCGCAGCCTCATCTGGGTCTTGTTTTTGCCTGTTCCTCTTGTTGGTTGTGCTTCCTGTGGTCTTGTTGTGAGAGGTGTTTTTATGCCCGGGACAGAGTCTTTTGGGGTGATTGACTGTGTCTCCTGTTGTATGGTCCTGAGATGGTAAGGTCCTGTTAATGATCCCAGTTTCTATAGATGACACAGTAAGACCCTTAGCACAGTGCACAAGCACTGAGCATCGGAAAGGAGAAGTGTGAACCATTTATTCGACTCCTCTATGCTATCTTAATTGTTGAATGGGACGGTGGTTCCTGGTATTTGGCTTTTTCCCTCGGCCTAACAGAGCGGTAACCCAGCCTAGCAATTGGACACCATTGCAGCAACCAGTACGGGAGAGACCCGGACCAGATCAGACCCAGAACCTCAAACAACACACTGGACTTAAGAAAACAAAGAACATGAGATCAGATGTGGCTTCATACACACACACACACACACACACGCACACACACACGCGCGCACTCACCCACGCACGCACGCACGCACACACACACACACACACAGAGGACACCAAATAAAATAGCCAAGGAATCTTCCTTCATATAGCAGGTGGCTGACAAAGGATGAAGTTTAGAATTTTTGTTTCTCAAATTGGAATTGGAATATCAACTGAGAAGCTGTAGAGACGTTGGAGTGTTATATGACGCCCAGAGCAGTGCTGGCGGTAGCTTTTCTTTTCTGGTACGGTTCCCCATGTTGGACAGGTCAAGGGAGGAGAACCATACAGCCCATGTTTCAAGTCCGATGCCATACAGATAGACATAGGAATGCCAAAGGTTAGGCAGCTATGGGTATTGAGTTGGGCTATCTTCACGGCACTTCGTACACGTCTATAGCTGCTCATATTCCTACTTCAGCATATACATCAGCCTCCCACGGCTAAGGGAGCCAGTCTTATGCTGGTTAACAAGACTTCGTGTACATCCGGTGTGCCTCTCATGACTGCCTTTGCAGATCTTAACTCCGAAACTCGAGGTACTCGAGGCTCAGAGGAAAGGCAAGACGGACATTTAATCAGAATGCTACTGGCACCATTAGTATCGGAACTCTTCGCTGGCTGCTGAAGATGGGGACGGAGCGCTTATAGGAATGCCCCGAGTGCTGTGATTTCGGTTCTTCAATCAAATAAAATCAAATCAAATGAACCCCGAAACTCATTAAACTCCAAGTTCTCGCATTCTTAGCAGTGATGTGCCCAGAGAGAGCAAACTCACAAAATTGCTTGTATATTTAGAAGTACTTAGCCGACCACAAACAGGGGAAATCATAGGTCACAGGACAGTTAAATATTTCATTGAGATTAAGCTTAAAGTTTTGGTTAGGTTAGGTTAGGGTTAGGATCCGGGTTAGCAATAGGGTAAGGTTAAAGCGCAAAAATCTTGGCCTTGGAAGAAACGCGCTAAAGCACAGAAAACACAGAAAACCAGCGCTTGCCACCCTGTAAAATATTGGACTGTCCCGTGACGTCATTTTTGGTCGGCCATAAAGAAAGCACTGCGAGCCGCTCTGGTTTAGCGGCTAGACGCTCGCCTGCGGAATCCAGGTCATGGGTTCAGCTCCTGACGGAGGTAAACTATTTTAAAAAATTACTACTACAGGTCGACCCAGAATTAACAGGGTACCAGGTAAATTCCTTGGAAGTAAAGGCCACCGGCATCATGACCTTTGTTACTAGGTTGAGCCAGTCTAAAATGTATACAAGGTAAAGTCCTGAGAAGTAAAGGCGACCTGTGTGATATATACATCACCCACCGAATGCCGATTGGTCTACACACATTTTAGTTTAGCATCATATTCATATTAGCATCATATACATGTACTAATTACACAGGAATACCACTTCTCAGTTACACTGGGAAAATGTATGCTAAGATCATCCTAAAAAAAGGCTTAGACCATTGATAGAGTATCAACTTTCAGAAGCACAGATGGGCTTTCGACGAAACAGAAGTTGCACAAATGCCATTTATACATTGAGACAACTATCAGAGAGGGCAATAGAACATGATAAGACATGTTTGTTGACATTCACAGACCAAGAAAAAGCCTTTGATAGAGTCGACAGGAATATGTTGTGGGAATGTATGGGGAAAAAAAAGGAATTAGCAATCATCTCATTAATATTTGCAAAAGTTTGTACACACGTAGTAAATGCTGCATAAGATCGACGGCAGGGTTGTCAAGAACTTTTATAGTGAAGTCTGGTGTGCGTCAGGGCTGTGTACTATCGCCGCTTCTTTTTATAACATACATGGATACCATATGTAGCGAAACGAACTTTAATCATGAAGAAGATATTACAGAATTACTCTTCGCCGACGACCAGGTACTCATAGCAGAAAATACGGAATGCCCACAGAACTATCAAAATCAAATTAGTAACAAAGAGGAGGAATATAATATGAAAAAAAAAAAACACTACGAAGACAGAGACAATGATGATAGGAAGGCATAAAGACAGTTTAGAAATAAAATTAATAAAACAACACCCTGAGACAAACAGAAGGATTTAAGTATTTAGGAGCAAATTTCACATCAGACAGAAAACTGGACAGTGAAATTAGCTCCAGATGTGCCAACGCTAATCATGTAATGGGGCAACTATCTTCCCTGTTGACACACAAGCGTACTAAATTCAATCTTATCAGAACAATTTTTTTGCCAACACTATGCTATCAGTGCAAAACATGGATACTTACATCCTCCAATGAACGTACAATTGTGACAGCAGAGATGAAATGCA